ATCCTCAGGTTGAGTATTAACAACAATAAAAAAAAAACACCACACACAAAACAAACAATTTTGAAAAAACAGAAAAAAACATTATAGAATTTTAATACTCATTTTATCTAGGATGTTGTGTTACTTGTTTTGAGGCTATCTGTAAAAAAAAAAGTTAGACACAAAGTTGGTGGTAATAGTAGATAAAAAGTTGCCTGGCCAGTATGGCTCAGTGGTTGAGCATCGACCTACGAACCAGGAGATCACAGTTCAATTCCTGGTGAGGGTACATGCCCAGGTTGTGGGCTCAATCTTCAGTAGGAGGTATAAAAGAGGCAAAGGCAACTGATCAATGATTCTCTCTTGTCATTGATGTTTCTTTCTCTCCCACTCTGAAATCCACTTAAAATAATTTTTAAAAAATAGTTAGACACAAAGTTGAAATACATGATGGGGTAAAAGTAGGTTTACAGTTACCGTGTTTCCCCGAAAATAAGATCTCCCCTGAAAATAAGACCTAGCACAACTTTGGGAGAAAAAATTAATATAAGACACTGTCTTATTTTCGGGGAAACAGGATATCAGTATACAAAACACAGAGTGTATTCTATATTATTATTTATTGTATTTTTTTCCATACAAACAACTGTAAACTTACTTTTGCCCGTCTATATTTAATTGGTTTTTTAAAATTGATTTTAGAAAGAAAGGGAGAGAGAAATGTCAACATCAATTGGCTGCCCCCTAACCAGGAATCCAAACAAAAACGCTTAACCACAGAGCCACACTGGCTCGGCCCAGCCTGTATTTATACTGGCAAAGGTTAAAGGCAAAACGACTTTTAATATGTAATCCTACTAGAGGCTCAGCGCACGATTAAATCCTGAAGGTAGAGTCCCTAGGCCTAGCCTTCTGTGATTAGGGCCATCTGCTGCTGCTCACCACTCGCCAGGCCAAACACCGCCTCCACTGCCTGGCTGTCAGGCCACTGGGATCACCAGTTCATCCCCGGCTGCTCAGGGTTTCAGGTGAGAAAGCAGGTGCTGGGCCGGCTACTGATGGAACACGCTGCCTGCTTGGAACCGCTCACACAGGTGCCGCCGCCACTGCTGCTGGGGCTTGTGGTGCTGAGAGGCTGTGGGGCGTGCCCATGACCTACTCCAACCTGGCATGAGCAGCCCTAGCGGGCAGCACGTTCCATCAGTGGCTAGCCTGGTGCACGCACATGGAGGTGAAGTTAGTAATGCCCGCTTTCCCAAAGGCCTGATCCCCCAAGCAGCCAGGGATTAGCTGATGATCCCAACAGCCTGACAGCCACCCAGTCCTCCCACCACCGACTCCGATTCCCCCATTTGCCATCGCTGATCCATCAGAACCTGTGGACTAGGGGAGGAACAAAGAGGTCAGGAGTTCAGCCTGCTCGCCAGTCCCTAGTCCCGTCCCACCCCTGCTTGTGCACTGGGAGGGAGAAACGGAGGGACCCAGAAGTAGTCAATGGCAACCAGTCATTTGGTCGTGACACCTCTTGGCCTTTTATTATTATGACTAGTGGCCTGGTGCACAAAATTTGTGCACGGAAGGGGCGGTTCCCTCAGCCCAGCCTGCACCCTCTTCAATCAGGGACCCCTTGAGGGATGTCCGATTGCCAGTTTAGGCCCGATCAGGATCAGCCTAAACCAGCAGTCGGACATCCCTCTCACAATCTGGGACCGCTGGCTCCTAACCACTCACCTGCCCGCCTGCCTGGTTGCTGCCCCTAACTGCCTTCCCTTGCTGGCCTGGTTGCCCCCAACTGCCTTCTCCTGCTGGCCTGATCTCACCAATAACTGCCGTCCCCTGCCAGCCTGGTTGTCCCCAACTGTCCTCCCCTGCCAGCCTGATCTTGTCAACTGTCCTCCTCTGCTGGCCAATTTGGTTCTAGTCAATTTCTATGCCAGTCAGCGTCAAAAGCTCCACCCCTTAGGCAGCCATTGGTTCCTCACAGTTGACCCAGATTTGGTTCTAACTGGTCAGTTTCTATGCCAGTCAGCATCAAAAGCTCCGCCTCCTGGGCAGCCATTGGCTCCTCACAGTTGACCCAGGTTTGGTTCTAACTGGTCAGTTTCTATGCCAGTCAGCGTCAAAAGTTCCGCCTCCTAGGCAGCCATTGGCTCCTTACAGTTGACCCAGATTTAGTTCTGATTGGTCAGTTTCTATGCAAGTCAGTGTTAAAAGCTGTCTGGTAGGCAGTCACTGCCTCCTCACAATTGACCCAGATTTGGTTCTGCCTGGCCAGTTTCTATACTAGTCAGTGTCTCTGGGCCTAACAACAGGGCCTGATCAGAAAGGCAGGGCTGATCAGCAGTCCCGGTGGAGGCTTGTAGAGAAATGGAGGCAGGGCTGCTTGCCAGGCAAGGGGAGAGAGGCAAGTGCTGGTCAAAAGCTGCCACAGATGCTACAGATCAGCCCCAGCTTCTCTCTTCAGGTCTCTTTCCGGGCCTGATTCAAAGCCAACTCAGCAATCACTGCTGGGTCATCAGGCCTGCAACCACAAGAGTTAGTGCTAGGTTGCCATGGCAACCCAGTGCTGACTTCAGGATGGTCAGCCTTTGATCATGATTGGTCATTACACCCTGGCTCTTTATTATAGAGATGATTGTTCTTTAAAAAATGGGTCTTTTGGGAGACTGTCAATGGGCACAACTTTACTACAATTCAACATACATATTAGCATTGGAGTCTGAACCAAATAAAGGTGAGTCACCAAAGAAATTGGGGTTCTGCCATACCCAGAATTGAAATGAGGCTTTTGATCACTAGACAACTCAGAAACAATCCAGTAAGTATAAGAAAACTTCAGCAACAACAAAAACTATAAATACTAACCTGAGAAAAATAACAGAAAATACTGCCTTTGTGAAACAAGATAAAAAATTTTAAAAAAGCAAAAGTAACAGTCTAAGAAATAAAAAGTGTAATGAGTTGAGAAAAAGTCAAAGAAATCATCTAAAATGCAGAATTAAAAAGGCAGATGATCAAAAATGGGGGGAGGGGAAATATAGAGAATCAGTCTAAGTGTTTCAATATGCATCTAACAGTATTATAAAAAAAGAACAGAGAAATTATGTTAATTGAAAAGAAATTATTCAAATAATAGGATCAGAAATGTTCTAAAACTAAGGAAAAGAAATCATCAGTCTGAACAGGTACATAAATGCCCAATGAAATAATGGGAGGGAGGAGATCAAGTCACATGAAAACTCAGAACATTGTGAATGGTAGATACAGGGCATCCTAAATGCCACAGACCCAATGGAGAGATAGCCACATACAGAAGAGATCAAGAACCACAATGGTATCAGCCCTCTCAACAGAAGTCAGAAAATAATACAATAAGGCCTTTAAAAATTCCTCAGGAAGGTTATAACCTAAAACCTATATGTAGCTGTTACAATAACAAAAATATTTTTAGCCCAGCTGGCATGGCTCAGTGGTGGAATGTTGAACTATGAAACAGGAGGTCAAGGTTCGATTCCCTATCAGGGTACATGCCCGGGTTGCAGGTTCGATCCCAGTGTAGAGCATGCAGGAGGCAGTCAATGATTCTTTCTCATCATTGAATTTTCTCTCTTTCCCTTTCCTTTCCTCTCTGAAATCAATAAAAATATATTTTTTAAAAAATTTACATAATTTATCTCAAAGTTTATCTCCCATGTACACTTCCTAAAGAAGCTACTGTATAATGTATTCATCAAAGCCAGGGAGAAAACTGAAAAAGAAAACAGGATCTAGAAAAGACGAAACGTGAAGGGAATGTCCAAGTAGTGGAAAAGGAAGGGCAGGTAATGGCTGCACAGAAGGACAGAAGGCTCCAAGGAAGGGAGTATCTGCCTAACGGACATGTTCAGTGAAAATTGATATTGAGAAAATATTTTTGTTTTTTGTTTTTTTAGTTCTGATGAAGATTAACTGGAAGAGTAAATGGAAATTAATAGAAAAATAAAGCAATTCCATGTTGGGAAAATAACAGGGGATGGTGGAAAAAGAACTAACTTTCTTATCTGTCCTAACAGGAAGTCAATAGATTATTGTTGTTTTTTTAAATAGCAGAATTTTAAAAGAAGTATAAGCACTTTAATAATCTAAGGATAAATCCCAGAAAAAAATAGTCTGAGGAGTAATAAGTAGTCTTCAATGCAGAGGGGCTAGAGGGTGGAGACTGCCTATTCTTTGTGATAAGCTTTACACTTGCAGATGTGAGTCCCAGAGCAGGTGAGGGTATACATGTCACTCCAACTGCTTTTCCCCAATCACACAAGAAATCTATCTCACACATCATAATAACATACTAGTATTTAGCGACACACCAATTTTGTTCAATTTAACTTAATTACCTGTAACACCATATGTAGCATATTTTTAAATACTCACCATGGATGCACCTAACAGTATAGCACAATAGTATATTAATTACCACAATAATTATATAATACAGATTTGTGGTGTTTTCTGATGTTGCAGAAGTGTTAAAAATTCTAAAGCAGGTTCTTCCAAAATTTCAAAAATGTATAATTACTAGAATTATCTCCACAAGGATTGAGGATGTATTTTTTCCCCATACTTTTATATTTATATTAGAACAATGTCAGAGGTAAAATGACAAAGACCCTATCTCAACACATGGAGGAACTGACTAAACTATTTGGACCACTTATATGTAGACATTTAATTAGATCTGAAAGAATCAAGAGATCATTTGGTCTAAACCATATGAAATTTTGGTTATGAGAAAATTTTGACACAAAATAGGAAACATCAGGCTTATAAGTAGAAACTATTATATCTCCAAGACACTTAAGTCACCAGATAACTTTGTTCCCTGACATTAAAGATAAATTAAAAATTCCAAATCAAGTTTCTTGGCATTAAGTCTACTGATATAAATGAACATGTTTTCTTTAATGAATTATGAAATGCATTCATCATTTTTAAAACCTACTTCCAAACATAATTCTGAAGGCTGAACATCAATGAATACTTACATTGACTAATCCAAAATAGTGCTCATTGACTGGAAATTGTTCTGGACCAATCTCTTTCTCTAATGCCGAGGCATTGGCGCCCTACAAAACAAAAATAAAATCACAATGAATGTAGGCATTATAAAAACATCCTTTAAATAACTATGCTCTTTATAACTACCTAACATTACTGAGAAAAAATAGAGAGGAGTGTGCAACACTGCCTCCACTCCCTTCCTCTGGAATTTCAGTCACTGAAATTACCGTATTTTTCGGACCATAAGATGCACTTTTTTCCCCCCAGAAGTGGGGGGAAAAAGTCCCTGCATCTTATGGTCCAAATATAGCCTACACATATATTTACTTTAAAAAAAAAGTTTTTTTACTTGCCCGGCTCTGTGTGGTCTCTGTGTGCTTGCCCGGCTCTAAAATGGTTCTAAATGCAGCTGTTTACTTTACAGGGTTGATTACATGTGTTTATGTCTGTGATGTTAGGTTTTAATGCACATAAAATATTTTAGGACACTATTTGTTTCAGAGTCTTTTTTTCTTCATTTCCCTTCTCTAAAAACTGGTGCGTCTTATGGTCCGGTGCGTCTTATGGTCCGGTGCGTCTTATGGTCCAAAAAATACGGTACTAGTCAAAGGTTTTAAATCAATTGTCTTATATATACTCAAAAACAAAAGGAAACAAAAGAACTAAAGACAATCAGGAGACTGCTGCATGAATAAATAGGGAACGTCAATAAAGAGATTATAATTATAATAATTCCAGATTTTTTATTTGCTTTCTTTTTAAAGTATAATAACTGAAATAAGAAATTCAATAAAGGAGTTCAATGGCAGATTTAAATAGGCAGGAGGAAAAAAAATCAATGAACTCGAAAATAAGGCAGTTGGAATTATTGTCTAAAGAGCAAAATGAAAAAATAATTCAGAAAAATGAACGGATACTGAGGGACCTATGGCATACCATCAAACATACCAACATATGCATGAGAATCCCAGGCAGAAGGAAAGAAGAAAGCAACAATAAAAAATAAAAAACCTGAAGAAATAATGGCCCAAAACTTCCCAAATTTTATGAAAGACCTGAATTTACACATCCAAGAAGTTCAACAAATATGGTACAGAAAAACTTCAACAAGATCTACACATTACAGAAAAATTGTAAAAGATAAAGAGAGAATCGAAATCTTGAAAGAAGAAACTCATCACAAAGGATCTGCAGCAAGATGAAGAGCAGAGTTTTCATCAGAAACCAGATGCCAGAAAGCAGAGGATAACATTGTAAGTGCTAGGAGAGAAAAACTGTCAACGAATTTCTAAAAATGTCAAAACTATTCTTCAGGAGTAAAAGAAAAATTAAGATATTCCAAAATAAATCTAAGGGTATTCATTACCAGTAGACCTATCCTACAATACTAAAGGGAGCCCTTCCAGTTAAAATGAAAAGACACTAGGCAATAACTCAAAGTCATGTAGAAAAATAAAAAAACGCAGATAAATGTAAAAGTATTATTGCACTTTTGGGAGTTATATTAGTTTTATTGAGAAATAATTGACATACATCACTGTATAATTTTAAAATACACAGCATGATGGTTTGACTTACATATATTATAAATGGATTACCACAGTAGCTTCATTAACATCCATCCATCTTCTCATACAGATACAATAAAAAGAAAAAATATTTCCTTGTGATGAGAACTCCTAGGATTTACTCTAACAACTTTCTTACATATCATATAGCAGTGTTAGCTATCGTCATCATGTTGTACATCACATCTCCAGTACTCATTTATCTTATAACTGTACTTTTTATTTTATTTTTTTTATTAAATTATATCTGTGTACATATTTTACCATTGCCTGCCCTCCCATACATACCTGTACTTTTTATTTTAACCCTCCCCCTTTTTCATATCCTACCTAATAAAAGAGTAATATACAAATTAGCCAGCACTCTACCACACCCACAAGCCATGCCCACAAGCCACGCTCATAAGCCAATCAGGAGCGAGTATGCAAATAAACCCAACCAAGATGGCTACAGCCACATAGAGCACACCCTGGCCGACCTAGGCCTCCACTCAAGGCTACAAAGTTTCAATTACAGAAGGTAAACAAATCCAAACAGAAATGGCGGCAGCCACAGAGCTGGAAAGAGCAGGAGGCTAGGGTTGCCCCAGCAATGGAAGAAGCAAAGCTTTATGCACACCCTGACCAGCCCAGGCCTCCACTTAAGGCTACAAAGTTTCAATTATAGAAGATACACAAACCCCAACAGAAATGGCTGCCGGCAGAGAGAGCAGGAGGCCTGGCTCTGCTCCAGGCTACAAAGTTTCAATTGTAGAAGGTAAATAAATCCCAGATACCAGGGCCTCTGCTTAGGTCACCAGGGGGCGTGGCTGGCCTGCAAACCACCACAGGCCCCTCACCCCAATGGAACCTCCACCCTGATCCAGGACACCCTTCAGGGCAAACCAGCTGGCCCCCACCCATACACCAGGCCTCTATCCTATCTAATAAAAGAGTAATATGGAGATTGACCATCACTCCAACACACAAGATGGCTCCCCCCATGTGGTCAAAGATCAATACACACACACACACACACACACACACACACACACACACACACGATGGCCACCACAAGATGGCCAGCAGGTGAGGGCAATTGGGAGGCACCAAGCCTTCAAGGGAGGGCAGTTCAGAGGGACCAGGCCTGCAAGAAAGGTCAGTTGGAGGCAATCAACCCTGCAGTGGAGGGCAGTTAAAGGTGACCAGACCAGCAGAGAAGGGAAGTTGGGAGCAAACAGACTGGCAGGGGAGCAGTTAGACATCAATCAGGCTGGCATGGGAGTGGTTAAGGAGTGATCAGGCTGGCAGGCAGAAGTGGTTAGGGGCAATCAAGAAGGCAGGCAGGCGAGCAATTGGGAGTCAGCAGTCCTGGATTGTGAGAGGGATGTCAGATTGCCCTCGAGAGGTCCCAGATTGGAGAGGGTGCAGGCTGGGCTTAGGGACACCTCGCATCCCCATGCACGAATTTCATGCACCGAGCTTCTAGTATAACATAAAAGGAAAACACATTAAACAACAATTAGAAAACTGTGTTAATGGGTGCATCATTAATATATGTAGAGACAGATGTGTATAGAACCAGAGTGTTAGTGTACTATTGGTATTATTAAAAATAGGTTGTCATCAATTTAAGATAATTGTAATCCCCAAGAAAACTAAAAAATATACGGAAAAGGCCGAAACCTGTTTGGCTAAGTGGCTGGAGCATCAGTCTGTAGACTGAAAGGTCCCAGGTTCGATTCTGGTCAAGGGCATGCACCTTGGTTGCGGGCACATCCCCAGTAGGGGGTGTGCAGGAGGCAGCTGATCGATGTTTCTCTCTCATCGATGTTTCTGACTCTCTATCCCTTTCTCTTCCTCTCTGTAAAAAATCAATAAAATATGTTTAAAAAAACATATATATATATGGAAAAGGAAGGAAGGGAATCAAAATGGTACATTACAAAAAAATCAAGTAAATATCAACAGTGACTAAAAGAGAATTATATTATTATTTTTTAAATATATTTTATAGGCCAAATAGACACAATAACAATAATAGGTACCATTTATTAAGTATCTATCTTGGGCCAAATACTACACCAGATACTTTACATACATGATCTATTTTAATTTCAAAACAACCCTTTTAGATATTACCCTAATTTGATAGATAACAAAATTAGCTATTTGAATCCTTAAAAGATTAAAAAGTTGATTAATGTATTCTTTCCTCATGTGTAAAGTAGTATCTAAATATAATAAAGTCATTTTAAAAGATTTTAATTTGAAAAGAGCTCCAAACTTGTGAACGGAAAGAAAAGCCTGGACCCTTTGCCTTCCAAGGATATTGTGGTACACAGTGGCAGTCTGTGGTGAATGAGCAGCTCGATTGAGGTCAGACTTACTTTTGTAACTTGGAATTTCCTTCTGTGTAGGTACAACTCGAAGAGGAGACATTGAAGAAGAACCAAACTGGGCCTATGAGAACTCACTCATGACAGATGACTCACATATTTATGCTGTATCCAGGTTGCCTACACCTTTAAATGATTGAAAAGATGCTACCATCTGGACAGATGGAGCATTTTAATTGGAGAATTAATGGACTTGTGATTTTGCTCTATTGATTTTTTCCCCCTTCTGCAATAGTAGGATGGTTCAGTAATAAATGTATGAGATCTTTTAAACTGCTGTTGTATTCTGGTTTGTATTGAATGATACAAGTGTTCTTGGCTACCAAGTACTTCAGTGTGGCTAATGTGAGTAAGAAATTAATTTTGGTTTTATCTTACTATTTTTATTCCTCACCCAGGAATATTTTTTATTGATTTTAGGAAGAAATATCAATCAGTTGCTTCCTGTACACTCCCTGAAAGAGAATTGAACCCACAACCTTTTGGTGCATGGGACTACACTCCAACCAAGAGCCTGTACACAGCTAAATTTTTATTTAATTGTAATTAAGTAGCTCCACGTGGCTAGTTGCTTTTATACTTTGTTATGAGAGCATTTTTTAAATTAAGGTATTACAAATGTGTCCTTATCCCCCCATTGTCCCCTCATTCCCCCAGTTCTGCCCTCATATTTTTTATATCCTCATGCCTGAGTGTAGCACATTCTTTTTAAAATGAATAGCATCTTTATATGCTCTTCCTCAATACAAGTAGGCATCATCTGAACCAGAGATAGACAAACTGGTCTACTGTCTGATTTTGTAAGGTCTATGAACTAGATTTCTGCAATTTAAATGGTTAAAAAATACGTTGACGCTAGAGAAATTAAAATTTACTGGATATTTATGTGCTGGGCACTATTCTAAGCACTTGGGATTAATTAGTTGGATTTGTCTAATATGCAAATGGGTAATAATAGGCCATTATGCAAGCCATGTCAAATGTCTGGAAAAGGTGGGAAGTAACAAGTGTCCTCATAACCAGTGAGGGATGGGGAGGGTTTCTTTGGGTCAGTCTCAGCTGTAAGGACTCATTCACAATTCCCTCAGGTCCGGTAATTTCAACAGATACTATCCCATC